GCAGAGCAACTCTGCCTCGGGCTTCCTGTAGTCAGCCGCTGGTCAGTTTCAGCAGCGGCTGAATCTGGACGCCAGTTCCGACTTACATACAAATTCAACTTAAGAACAAACCTACAGTCCCTATCTTGTACGTAACCCGGGGACTGCCTGTACAGTAAAAGAACAGTTTTAAATTTGTAGGATTTCAACTTCAGACATTATTTTTTTTTAATAATTACCATACATAATAAATTTTAATCAGAAACTCGTACAGCTTCTATTACTATTTCTGTAACTAATTTGAATTATTTTGTGATTTATAACAGTAAAATTTTTCTTTGCACTAAAATGACAGTTGAATAGGTGACTCAATTTTAATTTTGTTAGCAAATACTTTTTATGAACTCTAATCATAATAGTAATGACTTTTTTCGTATGAAAAACAAAACAAAAAATATTTAAACCTCTCACCCAGCATATTCTGGCATAAAAAGTAGTGCATTCAGCTAATTTAAGTGGCAGGATTGTTTATGCAAAATTTGATATCTGTAGGTAATAGTGAAGTATGACTTTATTTTGTACAAACAAATCCACAAACAAACTCTTCAAAATATATAATAGATTCTGTGTCTGAGCAGTGCTATGTATAATGACAGGATCAGACCAAATATTTTTAATTCTGTGATATTTCCTACATATCTATAATTCTGTGACTGGCACGCAATGTTATTGCTATATCTATATAATTAGGCTTAGAGAGATTAGATTTTTATCAGTAAATGTTGGTAAACATAATTTCCACCATTCTCACAAATCAATTAAAAAAATTAGATTGATAATAGTACCAATGTACAAGTAGGCAAAGTAAGAAAAATGGTGTTTGAGAGCTTAATAGAGGTTGAGTTCAAGGTCCTTACTTTGTGTATTTTGACCTGGGGTGTTAACACTTTGTGTTTGAACTTGTTGAATCGTGGTGTGGATTGTCAGGAAATACTGTCTGATATTCTCCCCTTCTGCCCAATTTACCACAGCTGTGAAAATTAAGATAAAAGCGGGAAGAAAAAGTACCAATGCTTATTTTTAAGCCTATCTGCCAAAATGATTAAGAAATTTGAATTTGGCCTGTATGTAACATAATGTAATACAGTGTTTCTCAACGTGTTCCCTGGCCCACTTTGAGAAAGCTACTAGTGGGCCTGTGCCACTTTACCTAAAAGGGTCCATAGCCATGGAGCCTCATGTCTCCCATTAGCTCCCATGCGCTGTTTCTAGCTAAGGGGAGTTATGGGAAGTGGCAGCCTAGGCCACGGTGTCATTCGGAAACATTACACAAAACTAGGGGTTGCCAACCCTCCTAGATTGGCTGGAAGTCTCCTGGAATCGGGCTCAATCTCCCAGACGTTACTGAAGCCAATCTGGGAGATTTAGCGCAGCAGGGTTATGGCAGGATCTCTACCTGCCTTAATTCTGCATGCCTCTCAGAGGAGATCGGCAAGTCTGACTTCTATGTGGAGAGACAGCCAGGGGTCTCTGCACACTGCATTGGATGAGGACTGTTGCCAGTGGGAGCTGCGAGGACAGTGGCTGCAGGCAGAGGCAATGCACAGAGCTGTCTGACTGCCTCTGAACATTGAGCTGGACCTGCCAGTTGCTTCCCAGGAGCTGCCCCAGGTGAGTGCTGCCTAACTGGAGCCTGCACCCCTCATGCCCCAATTCCTTGCCACAGACCTGAGCCCCCTCTCACAACGAAAGCTTGCACCCAGAACCCTTTGCTGTACTCCACCCCCTTTCCCTTGCTCTGAATCTAGGGTTGCCTGCCTGGATGTCATTGTCACGAATGGCATCTGGTGGGAAAGCTGACAACCCTCCTGAGTCTCCTGCCACACCCAAAGTCCCTCCCAGAGCTTGCACTCTAACTCCCTGGCCCAGGCCAGAGCCCCTCCAGCTCTCCACCCCAGAGCCCACACCTCAACTCTCTGCCCCAGACCAGTGAAATTGAGAGAGTGTGTGTGTGGGGGGGGAGGAGGGGGGGGCATCAGAAGGGGCGTGGCCTCGGGGAGCAAGGCTGGCCATGATTTGGGGGAGGTGGAGGAGTGGGGCAGTGGTGTTTGGCTTTGCGCCCTTAGGCTGCACGTGGGGTAACCACATGCCCAGGAATTGACAGGCGGCCCTGGGGTGCAGCAATGTGCCGGTGTCCTGGCAACCCAGCATTGACATGGGCTGGCACAGAGTCTGGAGCATGGCACCCGCCTTTACCCCCAGTAAACGCTGCTGGGTTCAAAGGGAGCCACTGAAAAAGCAATAGAAAGGGGTAGCCGAGGGGCCCATTGTGGTAGACAAGCCTCTTGCCAGCATCCAAGATGGCGATTACTCCTAAGCCCCGCAACTTCTTGCCAATACCTAAGATGGCAGCGAATCCTGTCACTACAGAAGCTTATTGCCAATATCCAAAATGGCGGCTTCCCATCGACGCG